GACCTCATGCTAACATACAGAAGATCTTATTCTCTACACATAGAGGGGTATTCAGATTCAGATTATGCGGAAGATGATAGAAAGTCCACGTCATGATATATATTTACTCTCGCAGGAGGAGCTATATCGTGGAAAAGCTCCAAGCAAACCGTCACTACATCATCTACGATGTATGCTGACTTTGTAGCGTGATATGAGGCCATAGGACAGGTGAATTGGCTGAAGAAGTTCATGCCCGGGTTGAAAGTGGTAGACGACATATATAAGCCACTCAAATTATACTACGATAATAATCCAGCAGTATGTTATGCTCACAACAATAAATCAAGTGGTGCTGCTAAACACATTGACATAAAGTATTATGTTATGAAAGACAAAGTCCGAGATCATATAATTAGTCTTGAGCACATAAGTACAGAAAAGATGCTCGCGGATCTACTTACAAAAGACTTACCACCCAACATGTTCAGAGAACACTTAGTCGGCATGGGTTTAAGGGAAAGCCTATGATTCTTGGACAATAAGGGCCTAGTTGAGAATCTGTTTCAAAACAGAGAGGTGCATTGTAGCTGTTAATCTAATGGCACTGACCGTGACGATGAGGCACGCTCTATGCACTGATATGTGATGGAATGGGATAAAGATAAAGTAAGTTAAGTTTAAGTAATAAGATGAGATTAAGGAGGAGATTGTTAGTGTTGATCTCTTCAGCTCGGCCCAACAGCCGAGTTGGGCCTTGACCTCGCGCCCTGATCGGGGCCGCCCAACCCTACATGGTTGGTGGGCCCCCATCGCACTGCGCTATAAAGAGAGGTGGGGGCCAGCGGCTCTCGGTACGAAGTTCACCGTGAGCCGCCACACCCACCAACAAACCCAATCCAATCTAGTGAGGGGCGCAGCCAGCGACGGAAAGCTCCACTGCCGTCTTCACCGCCGCCTCTGCGCCACCACTGCACTGCGATTGACCTCAACACCGTCACCACGACACCGCCAACCCAAACCGCATCACCTTCGCCATGGCTACGTCGAGCTCTTCCTCCAAGCCCATGGATGGTCGGTGACATCTCATCTCCCTTCCTCTCTCTCTCTATCTAGATCATGTTCTAGGAAGTTTTTATCCCGTATGTAAGGTTGTACCCGCTAGATCTATGTCTAGGTGATCCACTATGTTTATCAGGACATCCCATTGATTTGGGCCGCAAGGGCTTCACCCGCCGCCACTTGCTTCGATGCCATGGAGGTGGGAGCAGGGGAGCGGCCAGAGATGGCGCAACGACGGTGGGGGCGGGGATAGGGCGGACAATGGGGAGGCGGGCGAGCTAGGCCACTATCGAGCTACGAGCCTAAGCTGGGTCTCAGAAGCCGTGGTCCTTTATAACTTGGGAGTTGTAAGAACTAAAAATGGCTCAAATTAATTGAATTTGAGGTCCATTTGGATGTAGATATTGAATGGGTTGGAATTGCATTGGATACAATACCAAATCAGTTTTGTATTGGAAATTCTAACAATACCAAATCTATTGTTTGGATGTACCTAGAATTGACACTTCGCTCCATCAACGACAGCAGCCACACCTCTGGAGCTGGGGAAGAAACCTGCTAGGCCCGAGGAAGGAGATGCCGAAGCTGAGGAAGGAGATGACGGAGCTAGGGAAGGAGTTATTTGGAGCTAGGGAAGAAGAGGTGGTCGGAGCTAGGGAAGAAGACCAGAGCAGCCGAACTTCCAGAGATGGGGAAGAAGGAGCCCACCGGAGATGGGGAAGGAGGTGGCCGACCACACGCAAGACTGGAGAGGGTCGCCTGACGAGGCGTTGGGCCTTGCGTGAAAAAAAAGTGGCGAAGGTTGGGGACGCGAGCGAAGATGGAGTTGTTGGGGCTTGGGAAAGAGATTTGTGGCAGCTTGCGCTTGGATCAGGCGTGACCCAGTGAGGGCGCATGCGGTGGCGATTCGATCGGTGGCGGTGTCGGGTTAGGGCCACAGGCGAGGGAGGCGTCGGGGTCACGAGAGCCCAATTTCACCCAATATAGAGGGGTGAGGCTTTTTTGTACGGGAGAGCCCACTTCTAGTTATAGTCCAATATCTTGATATTGGAGTTGTAATTCTAAATCTCAATACCATGGACATCCAAACAATAGAATTTAGAAAAGCTGATTCCAATTTCTAATTTCAGGCTCCAATATCTACATCCAAACAGCCTCATTTTTTTGAAAATTTATACTACAAGGATCTTCAAAAATTGTGCTGTTTTACAAACCAGTAAATTGAACCCAAGGGATACCCCATACGTTCAGAATTATGGTTTACTTTGATTTTGTCCTAAGTCAAACCTTTTCTTAATATCTAGAATATTAAATTAGTTTAATTGGATTCTCCATGAAATATGTGTTTGATTGAGCATTTGTGTGGACTCATAAACATTAATATATTTTTTTCTAAAACTTGATCAAAATTTAATAAATTTAACATGGAGACAGATAAAATAAGCTATAATTTAAAACGGTTGGAGTACGTATCACGCTCAAATTCAATTCAAATACACGAGTATAGTAATATTTGGGACATAGACTTATATCTATGCATACAAGCATACTCTCTTCGTCCCAAATATATACGCATCTCGCTAGGGATCAAATCTTTATATATAAAAAGTATTATATTTATGAAGTGTAAGAAATATCATTAGATTGATAGTAGAATATATTTTTCATGATAAATTTATTCCAAAATGTAAATATTAGAATTGTTTTTTATATACTTAGTTACACTTATAAATATTTAAGTCTTTAGGAAGCTAGGCGTGCATTTATTTTTTATTTAAAAAAAAAAGAGAGAGAAGCACACCGACAGCCTATCACACAATATACTTTAGCAAGCTCCAACTAAAATAGGCACACATGTTCCTCCATGTTGATGCATCAGTGCATCTACTTGTTTGTGATACAATTTCTCTGTAATATATCCATTATCCACTCATAGGGTATACTTCGGCCCTTCTTCTCTTAGATCTTGTTTAGATATCTTCGTATCCACCTCAATCCATATATGTTTATGATAGATTAAAGTAGACCTTAAACGAATTTACACTTCAATTCACCTCAATTGAAGTGAATACACGAGTATCCAAACAAGCCGATAATGTCTTAACAAGGACAGATATTGGTTGCCTCGTATCTGCCTTCACATAATGATGGAGTTTTAAATTTAGCGTATGAACATCAATTTTTATTTCCACTTTTACCAGACAAGAGTCCTTCAATCCCACTTTGTAGCATCCAATAAAATTCTTTCGTCGAGACATCGCAATCAACCGTCAAAGACCCGCCGTTTTTTATTATCAGCTATTTCAAATTTAAAAGATACCAGCCACTAAAGTTACTAAGAGATGTATTTATCACTAACGTGATGACAGTAGGAAGAATTGCTAAAGCTCAAATGGATTCCACGGACACCAGCTGAACTTTGAAGTGCCAGAAATTAGATGTATTTCACATGATTTCTCATGGAAATCCAGCATTATGTGATCCACTGTTACGTGACGACAAAATACAAAAGCCCTTCGACTCCATAAATCCGAGAAAGCTAGCTGATACTAAACCAAATAATCAAACAAAATATTGACGGGAGATGCTACGGTCGCCCATTGAATAATCACTTTTCTGTTTTTCGCATGAAGCACGTTGACAGCTCCATCAAAGCAACATTTGAGTCGCATGGTCTCAACTCTCAGCATTGGCCATTTAACCATGTTCTTACTAGAATGCCTTTGACAAAAGGGCGCAACCTAAACTGCCAAAACTAAGAATATCCTTACACAGCAGCCAACAATTTGACTACAGGCAAGAACAAAAGGTTCCATATGCTCTTCTTTCAGAAACATGATGATGTCTAGGATCCACAAATCAATCAGTGCACTATCCTTCAACGATCCATCACCGTCGCCATATGCGCCCAAGCTTGCTCTGTTCCTGCATACGCCTGTGAGATGAGAAGAATAATGTCGTCAGACTAACAGCCCTGATCATCTGTATACCTTACCAAAATATTAAATGTGCCATGCAGATAAATTCCAAAAAGCCTATTGTAGCTCAAATCAATAAGATAAAAGCGCACAAAGGTTGGCTACTTATGGCTTGCAGCGAGTGGTTTTGTTTCTCAAAGCATACTACAGCATTTCTGTAACTGGTTTCTGTAAAGAGGTGACTCATATGGTGTTTGCAAAATCCAAACTAACTAAAATGATCCGGACTCCTCAGATCCGAGCCTAAATATGCCTACTGTGGTCAAAATATACTCAAAGGCCAGACCTACTTTGTATTTTGTTATTTTCATGTATTGGTGAAACCAGGCATTGGTACAAGGATCTTCAAAAATTGTGCTGTTTTATAAACCAGTAAATTGAACCCAAGAGATACCCCATACGTTCAGAATTATGGTTTACTTTGATTTTGTCCTAAGTCAAACCTTTTCTTAATATCTAGAATATTAAATTAGTTTAATTGGATTCTCCATGAAATATGTGTTTGATTGAGCATTTGTGTGGACTCATAAACATTAATATATTTTTTTCTAAAACTTAATCAAAATTTAATAAATTTAACATGGAGACAGATAAAATAAGCGAACAGTCAAGCACAACTAACCCCTTAATGTTGCAAGGTCATAAATTCAGCTCAAGTTTTAATGTCAAGCCTATCCACACGAGGAATTTGGTGGGAGATTATTAAGGACTTGCAGCATCTTTTTTTAATATAATTAGAACCACTTCCATTTAAGAATTATAACACAGTTCAATATAGAGACACTATTCCTTTTAGAAGCATTAATGCAAAAGAAGCAAAAACATGTTATATCAGATTGTAGCACAAATTAGAGATTCATTCATAGACTCACATCAACCCCAAACTATTATAACTTCATAGCAAATTGCACAGATTCAATAGCATGAACATTCACATGATGCCTTGCGACGAGAACTAGAATAAGGCATAACCATGTTTGCTTACCGCTGGTGTTCCTTTGAACGCTCAATAAACTCAGCAGCAACATCATGACCTTGATAGGATGCCAGCACTGTCCTAATGTCAGAAGGTCTAGCCATGGCAATATCTGCAAATTGTGTTGGCTTGATCAACGTCTAACCATGTTGATATTACAATATAAGAGATGGGTTAGAACACTCACACTCGAGAAATGGAATGAGATCCAGCAGTTGGGTATCATATTTATCTTCAAGTTTAAAAGGTTTGATTTGAACACAATTTGCATGCTGCAAGCAAGATTCAAGAGCATGGGCGCTGAGATAGATAACTTGAGCAGGGTTTCTGTTCAACTTTGACAAATCCTGATAAAACATGAAAAATAGTAAGATTAAGAGGAAACAAAAAAAAACAGTGGAAATGGACAGTTAAGCATATCCACAGATTAGACACAGGAGTACAGGACCAGTCCTAAAAAACATGTCATACCCTAACCAAAATGTTTAACAGTAGCAAGTTTATCAATCACAAATGCATGCTTGTACATCTAAAATAGAAAGGACTATAAACTCTATGTTTATTTAGATGCTTCCTCAAGTACATGCTCCTGATAGTTGGTTATCTTTTACAAAGATGATATAATGGTGATGTGCTAATAATAATAATTAGAAAGCTGCAAAGGATGACAATAATCAGGAGCAAGTGTATAGAATAACGTCAATGAATGCATCCTAATTCCTAATGCTGAGAAATTAGGTAAATCCTTGCAATCTGCATACCCGATAATGTTTTCCATCCACGTACTTAGTAGCAGGTCTTGATAACCTGTGTGAAATGGTACCCCTTGAGTTCAGCCTCTCAAACACAGGTTCAACATACTGCACACCAACAAAATATCTATGAAGGTTAGACCATTACATAAGAGTTCAAATGCAAAGAAAAATATCAACTAACCATAGGTGTCTGATCAGAATACACAACAACTTCATATAATTTTGACATATGTTCCAGAAACGCATCAACTCCTGGCCTCTTAAAAGTTCTCCATCCTCTCTCACGCTTTACAGAAAAAGAGAGAGAGACAGGAAAGAACATCATTAGTACATTCTTTGGATACACAAAGAAAATTAGGAGCGACTGAAAAGAGATGGTATCACAAGGCGTAAGAAAATATCGCAATGCCCGCCTCCAATCCGCTTAGTTAGACCAGACTCTCAGACATATGATTGTTGAGTTAGCCAAGTGAGGGGTTCGTTCAGCCCGTCAATAAAGCTATTCTCGGTATAGAAATAGATAAGAAGAGCTCCAATTAGGGGCAGGCGCAATAAGGTAATCGATAAGCATATTGTGTACTTGCATAAACCAGGTCCACATGTATATACATGTATATGTATAACTCATAAGTACTAAAGTTTCTGCTGATGTATACAAAATTAAACACTATATTTATATGCCTTGGCACTGAAACACCATACACCAGATGTTACTTGTACAAGAAAATGCTGGAGGACAACCGTTACAGGTAGCACAAGGTATTGATTAAGCACACTGTAACCTAGTAAGCAGGACCTTGTCAGGTTGTTAAAATGCACAGGCAATGCAACTTTTATTAAAATCATCTATTATAGCCTATAGCATATTACATAAGTAGTATGGAAGCATAAACTACACTCTGCCGTTCAAACTGCCATTAGTCATGATCTCTTTCCTGTGTGGCAGGGATAATGGGCCTGCAATTTTACAATACTAAACTATTTCAACAAAACAAAACATTTGTAAATACAGTACCAGATGTTTGTCTTTCATATATTATTACATCATGTTTTTGGATTCTGATGTCGCACATATTATGAAATAAATAACAGAACAGGATATGAAGCCACAATATACCTGCCAATCAGAGTAGACAAGAGTTTCATTCAGATCAAGAACTAGGGTGAAGACGTGCTGATCTTTAGGAAGTAGATCTGGTAGCAGTTTATCTGATGTGGGTTCAGTAAATCCCTGAGTAGAAAATAATAAGAGTAATTACAAACACTTGCTAGATTATACATGTACAAAGGGGATAAAAACTTTATAGTCTGTTACCAACCCTGACATGGTCTTCAATTGTGCTCCTAATATCCAAGTACAGCTCTATAGCTGAAACAGGAACTGCAGCCCAAGATTTTACACCACTTAGTAAGGATAAGAAGGTACGAAAGACAAAACCATAACCAACCAAGCTAAGCTGGAAATAAGTAGCAATTCAGCACAGAAAAATGTTTCAGCTCAGAATATTAATCAGCATATGCATCTATCTTAACTAATGTTAAATCCATGAATGCTTTACAAGGGTTCATATATATTAATTTCCAACATACATGCATTGACCCAGTTCATAATTCAATAACATCAGAATTTGTGCTTCCACTGAACAACTCAGAGTAATTCTTTAACTATTCCTAAAGTAATTAGCAAATTTACATGAATTATTGATTATGCAAATCAAAGCATTTAATAGCAATTATCAAAGGCAAAATTTTCAACTGTCGAGAAACAGTAAGTAGTTCTATCATTCTATGAGCCTACTCCATCCGATCTGGACTTGTAATAAATCGTACTCTTCATAGCCTTGGCGGCGAGAACTCTTATCATCGCTTATCTAGTCTTTGACTATGCTGGGGATGATGGTTTTGGATGCCTTTTGTCTGAACCCTGTGTGTTCAGTGCAACTGGCAGCTTGTTTAGTTCGAGCTAAGTACGTATTATGGTTTACCAAACTCTTGTAATTTCGTTGCTTTTGAGTAATGAAATTCAGTTCATCCGTGGTGAAAAAAAAATGAGCCTACTTCATCAAGCATCACCACATTGCCATCTGGACATGCGTTCAGAAGTGCACAGCAATTGATCACCAGAGAAGAAAAGACTTCGCAACAATAACCCTTGAATTCCAAGTAAACAAAGAGAAGAACAGTAAAAAGAGGAGCGCATTCAGTTTGCACCTTTCATAGCCGTCGAGTACACCATAGCCTTATACTTCTGCATGCAAGAAATACAACGATAATTTACAGTCAAAAAATAATTTCACACTCAATGGGAGAAGCATTCACTCCCTATTTCAATTAATGCAACTCATCCATTTGTGCAAAATTCTCATGGGGTGTATAAGTTATGCCATGCTTCAATATCAGCACAAAGTGTGTCATTCATTTATGATATGCTTGAATGGTGGCATCAAAGAGAAATTAACATTCAACTGAAGTCAAAGATCCTCCGGTCCTCCCACAAATCCAACCAACAGAATGGCACTCCACAACAAACAACAAATAGTGTGGGCTGAAATATATCAAATTCTAGTGACACAAATTTTGCATCTCTGGCAACCGTTTGGCGTAGTCAGTCTAATTCATGGGAGCTGAACAGACATTCCTAGTCATCTTACAAGAATCTGAGCTGCCAAAAAGGCCAATCATCGCAGTACCATCCCTCCCTCCGTCCTAGGTGAGAAAAGGGTGGGTGCTATGACTAATTGGCTTTGCAGCTCACACGAATACTAGCAAGCAACAATAAGTAACAGAGGATAGCTCACACGAATACTAACAAGCAACAATAAGTAACAGAGGATAGCATGGTATAACTTACCTCGAACGTGGAGGCATCCTCAGGGATGAGCGGCGCTGGGTTCTTTCTGAACTCTCTCGTCTTCTCCTCCACTTCATTCAGCGAATAGGCTGACACGAAAGCAAACGAAAAAAAAAACAAGTCAGGCGCGCGCAAAATCCCAAGCCAAACCCCAGACCAAATCTGCAACTAAAGCCAAATCGCCCTAGCAGGCCGGATCGCGGTGAGGAACCGGGGGATCGCACCGTAGCTGGCGTATCCGACGCCGCCGATGGCCCCGGCGACTGCCGCCAAGGCGCCGAACTTGAGCAGGCCCCACCGCCCGCGCGCCGCGGGGGGAGGTGTCGGTGAGGGCTGGTCAACCGCTGCGGGTGTGGACTCGGCCGCCGCCGCCGCCGCACCCTCCGATTGGGCGCCCGCGGCCGCGGCCGTGGCGGAGACGTGGTAGGCGGGAGGGGCGAACCGGGAAGTGTATGAGGAGCGGGAGGAGGCGGCCCGGGAGGACGCAGAACGGGAAGAGGCGGCGGCGGCGAAGGGGTGGCTGGCGCCGCTCCGCAACCCCGGGAGGAGGAGGCTGCGGCGGCGAAGGAGGAGACGCGACATGGCGATCGGCGCGGCTGCGGGCGCGTGGCTTGCGGGAGAAGAAGGGAGGACAAAAAAAAAGCTGCGGGGTTTTAGTTAGGTTTTGGTTTTTAGCGCAGGGTTTAGGCGAGGACGCGGAGAAGACGGCGATCGCAATCGCGATGCGCGACAATCGCGAGAGAGAGTGGGAAAAAGGCGAGAGAGGGCGAAAAGGGCTGGTGGAGTCTGGAGTGATCGGGCAAAAGCTGCGCCTGCCTACTGGCTGGTGGGCCGCCGGAGAGGCCAAGGGCCGAGGCTAGTCGAGAACTCTGCGTTGCGGCTACGCCGCGCGTGGGTTCCTTGCGGATCTGGCCTGATGATGGCCTGCGGGCTGCGGCGCTGAGGATTGGGCCGCGTTTGCAGACAAAAAAAAAGTTCATTTCACATAATGTAATTTTTCTTGAAAAAAATCCACATTACCTCCCTTAACTTTTACGAAAGTCTATTTTTTCTCCCTGAACTCTAAAACCAGGTAAACCATCTCCCTAAGCTTTTAAAACCATTCATTTTACCTCCCTGACCGGTTATAAGCGGTTTTCAAAGGCGATTTTTTTATTTATTTTGGCTGAATCTTGAAAATCATAGTAAATCACAAAAAAATCATAAAATAGAAAATTCAATTTTATTAGATTCCATATGAGTAGATCTACACAGTGAACATATAATATGGTGTGCTTTAGTATAAATTTTTTTGTTGTAGTTTTAGATTTATATTTTTCTGTAATTAATTAATAGCTGCAGTTTTTATGGTCCAATTGTGGTGAAGTTTTTATGGTGGGCTAATTATTGTATGCTTGAACTGTGGTAAAAATTTCATACTCATTGAATCATGTATAACTTAGTTATATATTTATTTAGATGTATACTTGTTAAAAAATATTTATAAATCTATAACTAAGGGAAGATTTTTCTTCTCCAAATGACATGATCCTATGGGTTGGGCCGATGAAAGGATATATGGGCTAGACCAGGACCAAGGGAAGGAAATGGTTGAACATGTCTTTGGGCCAAGCATGAAGGAAACGCAGCATAAAGCAATCAACACCACCACGAGAAGGGTCGTATTCTAAAAATACACAAGAAGGGTCGTCAAAGGACCAAAACACGAACTCGGAGGCGAGCGATAGCTCGAGGTGAGCCTCGGACTCCATTCTTATCCCACCCCTCATCTCCTCTCATGTACTAATCTAGATCCTTGTAGAACCTTCTAGAACCTTGTATCTTGTTCTGTGTGTCCAATTGTTGAATCGAGGATTATGTTCATGACACCAAATTTAAAATCAGATATCTTATCTCTGAACTCAAAATAACTTCATACTTTGGTTTGAAGCAATTTTGTTCTTTTCTAGTAAAAAATCAGAATAAATATTTGATAATGCGTAACAAAAATGTCTCCTAGTGTCGGTGTTTCGAATAAACACCGGCTAGTAAATTTATAATTGTTGCGTGTTAGGCTCGGATGGTGTACTAAAGGACACAAGGTTTATACTGGTTCAGGCAGAATATCCATACGTCTAGTTTGTTGTTGCTCGTGTTATTAGTACCGAAAAAGGTTCATAGTAGGGGTACAAACGGTCGAGAGAGGGACAAGTCCCAAGTCTCCGATGGAAGGGTCAAAAGGACGCCAAGAGCTCAGTTGCTGCTTGGTTGTGTGTTGTGTGGAATTGATCTGTCGTCTTGTGTCTAAAAACGATTCTTCTCCTTAGTGGGGTGCCCTGCCCTCCCTTTTATAGACTAAGGGGGGAGCAGGGGTTACATATGAGAGAAAGAGGAAAAGATCAAAGGTAGAGAAGGTCCTTCGAGGGAGCCGGGTCTTCCTTTTCCCCTGTGTCTGCCTTGCTAACATGGCAGACCATGTCAGGGATGGCGTGTTCGCTGATCCTTATAGGGTCGTGCCCTGGCCTCCTTCAGCAAGTGGGTGCGTCCCATCCTACACCGGTGGACGGTGCGGCATGCCAGAGAGCCAAGCTACGACCCTTCGGGGAGTAGACGGAGAAGTGACCATGCGTCTGTCACTGTGGATGATGTGAGTTCTGTCTTGGATCATAGTGGTTGTCGTATGCTTGTGTTAGTATCTGCGTCCGAGGGTAGATGGCGCCTACAAAACTATGGGACAAAACTCGGCGCCTACAACACTGTTCGGGCTCTGTCCGAACGGAAAGGGCCTAAAGCGCCCGTCCCATCGTATCCTGGTAGTACCTTCCCGCAGGCATACAGGGCGTGGCCCTCGGTACTGCAGTTGACTCGAATGTCCTGTCGTACCCTGTGCTCGTCTTTATGAAGGAGCAGGGTGTGGCCGTCAGGCGAGGCGGAGCCTGCCCTCTAACGTTGGGCGAGGCGGAGTCTGCCCTCAGACGTCAGGCGAGGCGGAGTCTGCCCTCGGACGTCGGGCGAGGCGGAGCTAGCCCTCAGCCGTTAGGTGAGGCGGAGCCTACCCTCAGACGTCGGGCGAGGCGGAGCTAGCCCTCAGCTATCGGGCGAGGCAGAACTAGTCTTCCGTCGTTCGGGCAAGAAGTGTAGTAGTGTTCTTGTCTGACCGGAAGCGTTAACGTTCGATGGTTCTTAATTCCACCTCATTGGGTACCCCGGTAATAGGTCCCCGACAGTAGCCCCCGAGCCCTTGGGTGATTCAGATAGGATCGTCCGAGGGGTATTTTGACTTGCTAGAGGGTGCGCGCGAGCGCACCCGATGGGTGTAGCCCCCGAGCCCCGGGGTGATTTGGGCAGAATCGCCCAGGGGGTATTTTGATTCACTAGAGGGTGCACGCGAGCGCACCCGTCGGGTGTAGCCCCCGAGCCTCTGGGTGATTCAGATAGAATCGCCCGAGGGGTAATTTCGGACCCTTTGCAGGTATGGCTGTGAGATTTAGTTTTTGTCAATTGGACAATTTGAAGGAAACCCTGGTATCCCATTCGTGGGGATTCATCCAGGGTTTGCTCGGTTGGGACTTGATTGCGCACCGAGGCTCCCTTGAGGCTTGTGTGCCTGAGTCCTGGTCGCTCGTGGGCCCATCCCTCATTGGGATGGCCGTCAAGACTGTTGGGCCGGCCCTTGGACTCCTGAGCCCAGGTGGGCCAGAGAAGAAGCTTTTTGACCCATATTCCCTCTATGGGAAAAGAGTCCTGGTCTGCTTAGGAAGGCGAAACGCCTAGCGCGATTATGATGAGAAAGGATAGGGATCGCGGGCGCATATCCCGTGACGTGACAAGGTGGTGTATCATGGTAGGCTCAGAGACCGAGGCGGACGGTGGCTCTTCTCGCATCCGTCGCCCCTATAAAACCACGGGGTTCACCCCTAGTGTTCCGTACTTCACCTCCTCGCCTTCGCATCTACAACCTTCGCCGTCAATCGCCTGAGCCTCTCACACCCGCATCGCTACCGCCGTCAAGCTCGCATCCGCATCGTAGCCACCATCAAGCTTGCATCCACCCCCTTCCCAGTCGTTTCAATGGAGCCATGGTGCAGATCCAACATCACCCCTCAGCGCCTAGAGGGCCTCATTCGCCGTGGCCTCCTTTGCCCATTGACCACCGTCGAGGGGTGGCGGCTGCCCGGTGATGAGGACGAGCCGTGCCGTGGATATCACGGCGTGGGTGGGCTAGCTTAAGGAGGATGCCTTTCACGCCGGGATCACCCAAGCCTTTACTGTTGCCCGCTCTCATTATGATCAGGAAATCAACTTGGAGGTAATGAGCCTTGGCTTCGCGCCTGGTTACGAAAACTTCGAGCTAGATGAGATTGAGAAGGCGGTGACTCCCATTGCGCGGAACCTGGCGAACAGGCTGAAAGACATGGTTCTTCCTTCAAGGAAGTAGTTAGTTGAATAAGTTTGATAAATATTTCTCTGTAATATGTGGACAAGTGTCGGTACTTTTGTGTCCAAAAATAGTTTTGTTTCATAATTTTGTTTCGTTCATTTTGATCTTACTTTCTTCCGCTTTGCATTCGAGAAAAAAGGTTTATGCGATCCGATCTTTCCATTCATTAAGACTAGGGCCCGAGGTGTATAAGGGGAAATTTCGATTGTGCTGGTGAGCAAAGTTACCATAGCTATCGGGGCGTGGGCTTTTTGCAGTCTTACCAGGCGTGCTCGTTTATCTGTTCCCACAAACCTTGCCGCCAGTCTCGTCGCGAGGAAAAGGTCTGATGCAATGACTATTTCAAAGAAAAAAGGAGGTATTTGTACCTTTATCAGCCCCCGAGTGAGATCCGACCCCTTACGGTCGCTGGGGCTGGATGTTACTAGAGACCGGAGCGAGGGTAGCGAACTTACTTTTGTATTCGCACGTACCCCCTACTTAGGATTTTGGTGATCGTTCCGTGACCGTGCGTTTGGTTGCATTGCTCGCCCAACCTTCCCCGAGCCCCCGCGCGTGGTGGGGATTCGGTCAAGGGTCGGCTCATTTTGTGACTGTCGTCCCATCCATAGTTTCTCGCAACTGGAGGGGTTGAGGCGGCGTTACTTGCCTCGACGGCTTGAGTGACGTGCCTGATGAGCTCGCTAACGGGGATGTTCAGACGAAATCTGATCCCGTTGCTTTGCGATAGGGTCGACAAAGCCCTCGGGTGGCGTTTCATTGCTCCTTGACCTGCCTTCCAACAGATTCCCCCTCAATGGGGATTCTATGGGCTCGGCAAGAGGCTGGATTGAACTTAGAAGGTTGAGATGACCCTATCTGCCTCAATGCGGGTTGGGCAAAGGCCGCTGAGGCTCATTTGCATTTTCTCCCTTGGCTTTTGTTTGGCGCGAGGTGGCCTTGGACCCTTCGCGGGTCAGCCTTCGAACCTCGATCTCTCGATCTTGGATCAAGCAGCTCAAGCCTTCGAGCCCCTTAGGGTCTGATATGGGTCGGCTGTGTTTCGCGCGTCACCCCATCCTCGGTTTCTGTATTCGGAGGGGCTGAGTTGATGACACTTGCCTCGACGGCTCGAGTGTCATGCTCAATGAGCTCGCTAACGGGTATGTTCATGTGGAATCCA